TGTGGCATGCCACCCTCAAAGCACATCGCCTCCAGCAGCAGCAGCAACAACACGAGCAGCACATGTGTCAGCAGCGGCACAGTAAGTTTCTTCACGGCGTAAAATGAGATGCAGCTAGCGTTGCAAGCCAAGCGTAGTACGGACTCGCACTTCCAGCTTGTATTTGTGTCCTGGTTTGTTTCTTGTGACTGCCAAAACACTCATACCTCGGAAAGAAGCACCAATTGCAAAAGCAGGTTTGGGGCAGCAGCAGCCTCAGCTGCTATTCAACGCGCCCCTACAATTGCTGCTTACGCCGCTGCTGGAACGGCACTTGCTGCTGCACTTGTCCTTCTTGCTGCTCATATGGTTCAGCGTTTCTGCTGGGCGTCATACCTTCAGGGTCAATAGCATGGAGGCAGCATATTCATTATCAGCAACAGCAGGCGCAGCAATTACTACAACGGGACCTTCTTTTGCTCTTCCGTATCGTATAGTTTGTGCGTTTTGCGACGAGTTGTGCCTGTTGACTGAGCCCTGAATTCTGTACCCGGATCTCATAATTGCTATATTTAGACCGAATATCATGACCGTACGCACTAAACTGTTATTTAAAAAGAACGAGGAACAGAATATTTCGCAAGAGGGCTGCAGGCTTCAGAAATAGAAACAGCAACATATATAAGAAATATCAGCGGCCGCAAGTATAACAGGCATACGGCTGCCAGTATAACAGGCATGCGGCATGTTTTTGCGTTAGCAATTCCATATGTGCGGATGTGCGATCTTCAAAATGCGAACCCCCTCAATACAAGAATCAGCGAACACTTTTAATTAGCTGCTATACTTTTACCACCTCTGAGTATTGGCTGAGAAACATTGAGAAGCTAAGCATGGATAGGAGCTAGATTCTTCTTAAGTTTTATCTGTAGAGTATGCCACTGTGCCGCTCAGAATTTTCTAAACTCTTGCACATAGTGAGCTATCTCAGCATGTGAGTTTACCAGAGAGTTTACAGCTCTGAAAAGGCGGGCCACGAGAATGGCGCGTTTGTGCCTATCTCTTGAAACACGATTACTTTCTCCGCAAGCAAAGCACCGCTAAAATTAATATGGAATTACAAATTTAATTCGAAGACTAAAACAATGCCGCTGCGAACAGCAAATCCTCTTATGCAGTTCGCAGATACTGATCCTGACGAACTGACACCAACAAAACGATGGGTACGAGCTTGCTTATTCACAACACTTTTCTACTTCCTGGTCGGATATTAACCTGGCCTCTAAGCACACAAACAAGAACAGCAAGGGCAGATAAAAGATATCTCTTACGACAAAAGTCCTAGCGTGCACCTCATTGGAGGGAATTCCCGCGCAAACAGAGCAGCCAGAAAGCAAAGTAGAAATCACAGCAGTCTTGTTCTCTTCCACACCAAATATGAACAGCTTTACTACATAGGGCACTACAAGACACTCAAATGCTGACACCCACTATAAAGATATTGACTTTGCTGCTTCCAAAAGAGTGCCAACCAGCGGCGGTGCCATTTGTCTTGCCAGCAACTACGCCAAATTTTGACCACGCGACTGCAGGGTTTCCACGGTTCTGAAACACCAAGGTAAAGCCGCTTGCCTCGTAATTCCCCGTAGCCACTGATGCTACGGTGGTTTGTGCTAGTTTTTTAAGAGTCCTCGCAGAGGCTCTCGAGTTGATTTCAAGGGAAACCGCGATCGGCTAACTTCCCGTATCCTCGCGGCAGCCAAGGCCGCTGAGCAGTACAAAGCTGAGTGTACTATCAAGTGCTGCAGCCACTGATGATCAGGCTGTCTTAGATGCCTAGAAACGAGTGCTCGGCAGAATGTACTGCTGTAAAGTAGGGACTTGAGCAGTAGTTCTGGGTGTAAGCACTAAAGACGAAGGCGAGTGGAGATGTGCAACTACTGTTGCGCACATGTTTCGTGTACTTTGCGGGTCTTTCCAGGCCAGCCTGTCACTTTTCTTGTATTCTCTTTCGCATAAGCGCATTTGACGAGTGCGATATGGCGCTGTTCAGGCAGTGCATCAGGTATGCAGCACTGTAGCTGGTATGCAGCACTGTAGCTGTAGGCGGCAAGCCCGGTGATGTTTCAGTGCAACAGCAGATCGTTTTCTGTAGAATATGCACTTCTATTCACTATAGTAGACAAGCTTATTTTGCTGTCACTGCTCTCAGGTTGCTGCTACTTCAGCAAGCCTGTTGCCCTCGTACAAAACCCACGCCGATCTACCAGATACCGGGGGCGTTGTTAAGCACTAACTCTACGCGTAAATAAGGGAATATTCTTAAAGCATTTTGGCTTTTCGTATTAGTGTTGAGAATCCGCATTTGTGGGTTTTGCGGGCCCGCTGGGGCCCCGTAATGGACCCACCAAGCCCCTCAGGGCTCGCTTGCTGGGGCTTTTCTGCGCATTCTGCTCACTCACAGAATTCCATTAACTAAGTTGATATTAAACACAATTATTTTTCAAATTGCTAGCAAGGTGGCGCCTGTAACCTCTGCCTGCCGTGACCAGTCATCGTGTTTCCGGCGGCCGGTGGGGCTGTGACTCATCCCTTCTTTCGTTTTCGCGTTTGTTTTTTTAGAGTTATTTCTTTAAAATGTCCACAAGTACGGGGTAAGAAGAAAGCATCAGCTCACTACGGATTGTCTGCTGCTCCCGTGAAGCAGGAGAGTCAGAAGAGCCCTAGGCAAGATTCTGAGAAGTTGAATACTGCGAACTGGGCTGGCTGCTGCTGCCACTTGCTGCTTCTGTTCGGATTCTCTTACAGGCTCGGCTTTGCCAGCGTCATTTTGCTGCTGGACGTGCCACAGCTGCCGGCCATCTTGGCAGCAAACGTGTGCAGAGCCTTTCGCACTGCAGCAAATGAGCTGAAGAACATTACTGCGAGGGACATTATTTATCCCAACAACAGGAGTAAGTGAGGAGCAAAGATAGCCAGCGAATGCAGCAGCAGCACAAATAGCCACCACAGGGGCAGCGACAACAACTTCAGCAGCAAGTGAAGAGGCAGCAGCCGCAACTGCTGCTGCCGCCTCATCTACAGCAAACCAGATGTCGTTAGATATGACTAAGTTAAATCCAGACCTACTCTCATTCCAGGGTTAGGGTTCCGGGCTGCGCGCGTGGCAGAGGGGGTTTAGGTTTTAGGGTTTAGGGTTTGGCGTGTGGACTCAGTAAACCCTCAAGACGCAAACATAAACCGTATGGGCCGACGAAGGGCTTATAATAATGGTAGGGCTTTCCGTGCATGCTTCTGTTTACAGGGGTTGTCTGTACGGTATAGGGTTTAGGGTTTGGGTTTTATGTGCGGGGGCTGCTTTATGTTTCTTCCTTGCTATTTTTGCCTGCGGGGGCTGCTTTATGTTTCTTCCTTGCTATTTTTGCCTGCGTGGCAGTTGCCTGCAGCGGCTTCTGTCTTCGCCGCTTTTCTGTGCCTCGCCGGCCTTCTCTCTTGATTGAATTTGTTTATTTTTTGTTTTGTTTCTTTTCTTTCCTGCTTTTTCTACGCCCGCCGCAGACCCCTGGATGTTTGGCCATAAGTTTTAGCCACTGCAGCTGGGGGCCTTTCAGGGTACATTCAGAAGACCCTGAAGGTCCATGTTTTGCTCCTGTGGGGCCCCTGGGGGGCCGCTGCAGCTGCTGCCTTGGGAGCGTCTTCGCAAACAGCTGCCGAAGCAGCAACAGCAGCTGCTGCTGGAGCAGCAGCACCTGCTGGAGCAGCCACAGCAGCTTCTGGAGCAGCAGTAGCAGCCTCTGGAGCAGCAGCAGCTCCAGCTGCGGGAGCAGCAGCTGCAGAGACGCATCTTTAAAGAGTTTCGAAAGAAAGACTACATTTCCCTTTTTTTAGGAGATTCCTCCGAGCGAAAGGCCTGATGGTCACTTAAGAGTCAATCCAGTTCAGTGGACTCAGCCTATTTCCTCAATTTTCCCAGCTCAAAGTTTAACTTGCATAAATACTTGGAAGAAAGTACATTAAATAGTGTCAGTGACGACAGACATAACGTGGGGGCCCAGGAGGCCCACAGAGGAGCCACGAAAGCCCCAAAAGGCCCATTAAGAAGCTTTGGGGGCCTCCGGGTCTCTCCGTAGCTGCATGCAGCTTTAGGCTTATTTGCAGGGCTCTGGAGGGGGTTAGCAGCAGCAGCAAGCTGTAGATGTTAGCTGAGTGTCCCGCATTCCTCTTAAAAACTGGCGTAAAGAATGTAAGAGGCCGCCACTACTTGCTGCTCCCTCGTTGGTTTCTGAATTGAACTCATTCTGGTGCTTCATACCTCTCTTCGCTTGACGGCAAAACGAAGCAAACCACTGCGGGCGCATGCAGCCCCAAAACGAGCCGCCTCCGGCGCCCGTCAGCAACTGCTGCTGCTGCTGCTGCTAAGCAGCAGCAGCAGCAGCAGCAGCAGTGGGTGCGGCTGCACGCATCGACCGCGCTCGCCGCAGGAAGTGAAGACAGGGTGAAGCAGCAAACAGTCTGTGTGAACTACGGAGCAGCAGCAGCAAGACTGATGCTGCAGCACCGACGGCAGCTCCAAACAAAGTAGATGAAAGGATCAAGAAACGAGTAGACAACAAGTTCAGGAAAGACGACAATGGGACAAAGAAACAAGTGAATGGCAAGTTCAGCAATCCTCAGCAATCCTCTTGGCAGTAACGCCGGCTTTGTTTGCCGGAAACGGCAATTAGTCGAGAAGCAGAAGCAAGCAAAGACTCCGTGGGAGATGCTGCAGAGAAAAGTCTGTGGGGAAAAGCCCGGAAGTCTGGCGAAAAAGAGCGAAATTCTGCAGAGAAGAAAAGCAAATTAGGCCGCCTCAATAGGGTGCACTCCGGGGCCCCTGGGCCGCCTCAAGAGGGCGCCCTCCGGGGCCCCTTGGTCCGCCTCAAGAGGGGGCTATCCGGGGCCCCTTGGGCCGCCTCAAGACGAGGCCCTCCGGGGCCCCTGGGCCGCCTCAAGAGGGGGCCCCCCGGGGCCGCTTGGGCTGTTCAAGAGGGGGCCCCCCGGGGCCCCTGGTCGGCCGCCCGCCGCTGGTGCCGCGTCCACAGGCAGCGCCAGGCCCGCTCTATCTCGTAGCAGCGGCACTGGGGCTGACACACGTGGCCGCAGCCCGGGTAGGCGCAGGGGAAGCTGCTGGCATTTCGGTAGCCGTAGAAAACCCCGAAGTAGCCCTCAGACAGCAGCCCTGGCCGCGTCTACACGCAACACGCGCACTCGGCTTCCAGGACTTCCACTTGCATCTCCAAATTCTAAATTCTAAAGTGCTTTTGCTCCGAAATTAACTTCTTCAGTCAGTGAAATGCGCCAGTTTACACAATTTACACCACCCACAGACCCACACAGCTCGACAGCTCCTACGCGGTACACACAGGGCCACCAGCAGCCCTCAGCCGCAGTCTGCCATGCCAGCAGCAAGCAGCAGCATCAGCAGCAGCAATGGGAGGCTGCGCCACCAAGCAGCAGCAGCCGCAGCTTCGCAGGGAGACTCCAGCGGGGCCCTTGGGCTGAGAGCCTTGCTGCTTCTCCCCGTGTAGGCGAAAGCACACAGACCCCACAGCCCCCAGCTCAGTGCAGCCAAACCCAGCCCACCCGCGGCACCAGCAGCACAAATTGCTGCTGCTGCTGCTGTGGGTCGCAGCAAGAGCAGCAGGCGCAGCAGGCGCCGTCATGGGGGGGTGTTGAGAAAAAAAGATATAAGGAAAATAAATAAATACGCGCTAAAGCGGCCCCAATAGACTCATTAACACAGACATAGACAGGAACCTGTTTAGGGGAGCAGCCCATTCGGAGTTTGGCGCTGAGACCCAACAAGTGTTGGAAAATTAGCGAAAAGAAGACCCGAAAAGATGAATTCAGAAGTGAGAAAGAGGATTTAAAGTGCTGCTTAGACGTCCCGGCTGCCGGTGACTGCACGAACGAGCAGCCCGTCTTGCGGTTTCTGTACACTTGACAAGCAGCGTCGCAACTCCCCACCCTCGCTCCGGTGTCTGTACACCCGAGCCGCGGGGCGCACCGCAGTGCGCGTGCGCGCAGCTGCGGGTGTACGCGCAGCTGCGGGTGTACGTAATGCGCGCGGAGAGAGTGTGGGGCGCGGGGTGTCTGTACACCTGGGACTCACCACGATGCAGGGCAGCTCGGAGTCGACTTGTTCGAAAAAGCCTTTGCAGTGGCGGGCGCAGTAGTGGTTGGCGTAGATGGCGAAGACGTCGGCGAGCAGCTCCGAGGCCAAGTACCTGTGGGCCTGCAGCTGCAGACTGTAGGGCACATTTTGCCGGGCCAGAGTGAAGGCCGGGCTCAAGTGTTCCCGCGGCTCCAGCCCTGGTTCAAAGCCCCACACACACACCCACAGCCCATGCATGCAGCGGCAAGCCCCAAACCACCAGCTGCGCCCAACAAGAAACAGCAAACCAGTCCTGCTGCTGCTGCTGCTGCTGCTGTGGCCCCGCTGCTTGCGGCTTTTGCTGCTTTAACAGACTATTCCCCTTGCTGGCTCGGCTCCCTCTCTAGCTGCAACTCCTTTCCTCTCTATCTCTTCCTCTTTTTTCTTTGTCCCTGTCTCTTTTTGCTTTCTTTTTTTCTTTATCTCCCCTCTTCTATTTCCTTTTCTTTATCTCCTCTTCTCTCTCTTTTACTCCATCTCCTTTTCTCTATCTCCTTTTCGTTATCTCTTTTTCTCTGCCTCCCTTTTTCTGTCCTTTTCCTCTGTCCCCTTTTTTCTTTCTTTTTTACTCTGGCTGCATTTAAGCCACTTCTCGTGTCTCCTCTTCTCTGCCTCAATTGCTGTTAATGTCCCTTACTCTGCTTTGTCTCATTTTCTGTTTAACTCTTTTTTTCTTGTTTTACTTCATCTATCTCGTTATATCTTGCCTTCTAACTCCATTCTTTACTTTCTTCTCATCTACCTCCTCTATCTCATTACTTATATCTTTCATTAGCCCCATTCTTTTTTCTAATCCCATTTATCTCATTCATCTCATTATGTCTTTAATTCCATTCTTTCTTTGAATCTCCTTTATCTCCTCATTTCTCTCTTTAATCCTATTACCCCTTTTTCATTTATCTCATTATTCTTTTCTCTTTAATCCCATTATTCTTTTTAAACTTAATTCATTATTTCTCCCTCTTCGATTCCATTACTCCGTTTTCATTTTTTTCTCATTCGTATCATTATTTATCTACGTTTAATCCCACGATTCCCTTTTGATTAATTTCAGTATTCCCCTTTTTCTAATCACACAATTCCTTCATCATTTATATCACTATTTCTCTCTTAAATCCCAAAATTCCTTTATATTTATATGATTATATCTCTTAAACCCCACAATTTCCTTTTCATTTGAATTTCGCTGAAGTAATTATTCTCTTTTCATAAATCCCCAAATCCCCTTAGCGTTAATATAATTATCTTTTTCTTAAATCCCGAAATTCCTCTACCATTTATGCAATTGTTTATCTTCCTTAAATACCAAACTCCTTTACATTTATATAATTATTTCCTTCTTAAACCATAAAGTACTTTCGTCATATATATCTCATTTTACATACTTATTTATTTTTCTTTGATATTAAAACTCCTTTATCATTTACTAAATTATAAATTTGTCTAAAATCTTAAAACTCCTTTATAATCAACTAAATTACTTATCTATCTAAAACACCGAACTCCTCATCACCCATACAATTATTTATTTTTCCTAATCCCAAACTCCCTTATCATTTACACAATTATTTACCTTTCTTAATCCCGAAAATCCCTTATTATTTATAATAATTATTTATCATTCAAAAATCTCAAAACTCCTGCTCATTAATTGAGTTCGTTTCCTTCTAAAACCTCAAAACTCCCCATCTTTTACTAAATTATTCATATTTCTTAATCCCAAAACTCCTTTATGCCTCACTAACTACAAGAAGCTTCCAGGTTTCTTTCTGAAACCTGGACACTTCTTATAATTTATTAAATTAATTATCTTTTAAAAGTTTTAAAACCTTTTATGATTTGCTAAATCAATTTAGAGTCTGAAAACTTGGTATAATTTACTAAAATGATGATCCTTTCAAAGTCTGCAAACTCCTTATAATTGACTAAATCAATTATCTCTTCGAAATCATAAAACCTTATATAATTAACTGATTCAATTACCTTTTTAAATCTGAATATTTTGCATAATTCACTAATTAAATTAACTCCTCGAACTCTGAAACCTTTAGATAATTCACTAATTCACTAATTAAATTATCCTTTTAAGCTGAAAAGTGCATTTGCTGAATTGTTTCTGCACATGCATGCATGCATGCATGCATGTATGCATGCATGCATGCTCTGTTGCTGCACCAGCGTTTTCCTTGGGGGCCATGAGGGCCCCCCACTCTTCGTCGCTGAGGGCCCCCGACTTTGCCGATCCCAAAAAGTTGAAAGGAGATAAAACTGCATCTCCTCGAAAGCAGAGAACTCGGAAGCAGCTTCTCGCGCTGCAGCTGCACACGCCTCTCCGCGCTCCTGCTGCTGCTGCTGCTGCTGCGGCGCTGCTGGTGGTGGTGCTGTTGCTGCTGCTGCTGCTGGCGGGCGTCGCGGGGTAGGTGTCCGGGGCCTCGCAGTCGGCTGCAGCAGCAGCAGCAGCTGCTGCTGCGGCGGCGGCGGGCAGCGCGTCCTGCTGCGAGCCGGGGGCGGCCTCGAGCTTCATCCTGCAGCGCTTGGCCTGCTGCCGCTTCTGCTGCTGCTCCTTCTCCTCTTGTTGCTGCTGCTGCAGCAGCAGCAGCAGCCGCTGCTCCGCTCCCCAGTTCGCCTCCGCATGCATGCAGCAGCAGCTCACCACTGCCCTCTTCAAATAAAGCCCCATTCCAACTCCTGGAGTTGGTTCTTTTCTTACTTCCAGGCTTTCCCGCAGCACAGCAGAGTCGCTGGAGGTCCACGCCAGCTTCTGCAGCAGCAGCAGCAGCAGCAGCAGCAAACGACGCCTTCACACAGAGAGCCACAGCAGCTGCTGCAGCTGCTGCTGCAGCTGCCGCCCGCCGCACCTGCTGCTGCAGCTCCTGCACCATTTGAAAGCCACCCATGTGTGATTTCTGGCGTCTGCAGCTTAGAGGCTAAGGTTTAGGGTTTAGAGGCTAGGGTTTAGGGTTAAGGGTTTAGGGTTTACCTCAGCCAGCACTTTGCACTGCAGCACATGCTGGCGGGTCCACTCTACAGTCATTACTAGAGGGGCCCCGCTGCCCCTGCAGCGCCTCCTGGGGTTTCTGCGGCATTTGCTGCAGCTTGCTGCTGCTTCCTTGTCTCCTTCTTCAAGAGAATTGTCTCCTGCTGCTTCTTCAGCCTTTTCTACTTCGCCTGCTGCTGCTGCTGCTGCTACTACTGCGCCGCGCTTGCGGCACTGCCCAGATTGCAGCGGGCCAGGAGATCCCTGATTGTGAATTCCTGGGGCGTCTCGGTGCTGCTGCTGCCGGCTGTCTGCAGGAGCAGCAGCAGCAGGAGCAGCAGCAGCACATTCGGCGGTGGCGGCAGCAGCAGCAGCAGCAGCAGTCGCCGCGCCTGAAGCACCCGGCGCCTCCGTGTCCGCTGAGGCCGAATCATATTCATCTGCTGCTGCTGCTGCTGCTGCTGCTGCAGCCGTTGCTTCTGGAGCTCCTTCTGGCGCTGCCACTGCCGCTTCTTCTTCGTTGCAAGCTTCTGCTGCTGCTGCTGCTGCTGAAGCATTTGTTGCTGATCTCGTCACATGATCGCAACGTGCTGCAGACTCCCTATGGGGGGCCCCAGCTGGGGGCCCCGGGGGCCCCTCAGGAGAGGGTTCAGCTGCACCCATTGCAGCAAATAAGAGCTGCTGCTTCCAGCCCCTTTTGCTTTTGCTGCTAATATAGGCTGTTGTGGTTATCAGCAGCAAAACAGATGCTGCAGCTGCCAGGATCCATCAGCAGTCTTGAGCTGCCTCTCCAAACCCCTGAAGCTGCTGCTCTTACTGCTGCTGATTCCGCAGATGCTGCTGCAGCTGGCCTAGATGCTGCCGCTGCTGCCGCCGCATATGCTACTGCTGCTGCTGCTGTTGTAGATGCTGCTGCTGCTGCTGCAGCTGCCTGCCGCGCACCCCTCCCTGTTGTTTTGCTGAAGATGCCACTGGCTAGCAGCTGGGTCAGCAGCGGCTTCCGGTCTGCTCCGGCTGCTCTCGCTGGTGCAGCAGCAGCAGCAGCAGCAGCAGCAGCCGCAGCTGCAGCTGCTGCTGCCCTTGCTGCTGTTAACCAAACTGCTGCTGCTGCTGTTGCGGCGCTTTTTGCTGCTCGTCACCGTATTTAATGAGCTCTAAATGCATGCCCAAAGAAAGTTAAAAAAGACCTGCAGGGCAGAGGCTACTTTAGAAAGACAGGAAGCTTTTTCTAAGGCGCGCTGGGGGGCCAACTGCAGCTGCTGCTGTTGGTCGGCTGCTGCTGCTCCACAGAGGCCAGCAACTAGCGATGGGATATTGATGCAATAAGGAATCAGAAGTCGATTTAAAGCAAAAACAGCAGCAAAAAATAGCGCTAAGTCCACACTAAACCCAGGAAGGCAGTCCGGGGCAAAGTCCTCTTTCAGGTATAAACACCTCTGCCGAACGCATGCAGCCCCGGAAAAATGCACAGAAACCAGCATATAACAAATAATCTTTAAAAAGCCATTGTGCACCTCTAAAGTGGCAGACCTGCTCCTGCTGCTGTTCAAACACTGCAATCTACTACTGCTGCTGCTGCAGCAGCATTATCAGGCTCCGTGGCGGCAGCGGCTGCGCCGACAGCGCGCGGCATAGTCTTTTGTCTCGAGACAAGAACGCATTTTAGACATTTTTGTTTCATTAATTCAAAAGGATTAATAATCAACAAATTGGATTCGCTTCCATCATTTTTCCTGCCTCTTCCGCAAAGGCAAACCACCCACGGTGGCGCGGCAGCGCTGCAGTTGTTCCTGGGAGGTGGGGCGTGAGACCCCCTTTTAGTTTGTTGCAGCAGCAGCAGCAGCAAGCGCCACAGCAGCAGCAGGCAGGTAGAAGTCAGCAGCAGCAGC